GTCTCCAAACCCAGCAAAGGCTAGCAAGGAAGGAAAAGCCAGACGCATCCGAATGTTGCGTACACGTCATTTCCTGAGAGGAGCTTCTTGTTTCAGATAAGTAGGTGAAAATGAGCCCATAGCTTGGGCAGAACTTTCTCTGATGATCCTTTCAGGACTGGTGGAGAGCTGAACACAAGGAAGAGCCCACAGCACTTCACGGGGGATGTTAGACCAGAGAGATAAACCCACCCCGGAGGAGATGGCCCAGCAGCTGAAGGTGCTTGCTGAGCAAACCTGCTGGAGAAAACTGGCTCCGCACGTTGTCCCTTGACCACACACTTGCTGTGGCACATATATCCACATACCCCTCTCCCTCTCTTCCACCTCTCTTAATCTGTCTGTCTGTCTGTCACATACAAATAAACACATGCTAAAGTTTTGTTTTGTTTTTTTGAGACAGGGTTTCTCTGTGTGGCCCCGACTGTCCTAGAACTCACTCTGTAGACCAACCTGGTCACAAACTCACAGAGATCCATCTGCCTCTGCCTCCCGTGTACTAGAATTAAAGGCATATGCCACAACCACCTGGCTAAAGTTTTTTTTTTTTTAAATCATTAATAGAAACAGAAATATCACCTAAGTGACACAAAACAAGAAACTTGAAAGAACATGAAAACCATCAACGGTGGAAGCAAAAATGGAAGTAACGTCTCCTACACTTGCATTTCAGGCTCTTAAACAACACCTTGCGGGCTTGGTGAGATGCTCAGCAGTTAAGATGCATGTACTCTTCTTGCAGAGTTTGGTTGCCAGTGCTCACAGCAGGTGGTTTACAATTGCCTGTAACTCCAGGAACCCAAAGCCCTCTTATGGCCTTTATGGCGTCTGTCCTCACAGACACACAACTAGAAACGAAACCTTAAGAAGAGTGAAATAACAGGGGCTGGTTTTCTAGCACCGCAGGAGGAAATTAAGAAGCGCAGAGCATGGCTGGGAAGATGGCTGAGAGGATAAAGGGCTTGTGGCGCGTGACTAGTGAGCTGACCTCCATTCCGGGAACTGTGCAGGAAGCTGGATACGGCAGTGGCCATGTGAACCGGCTCTGTGTGGTAAGGAGGGAGGGAGAGTCGGGAGAAATAGCTAAAAACTCTCAAAAGCTGTGCTGTGGTGGACACAAGAGAGACTTTGCCTTAAAATAGTGTGGGTAAATTGAGTCCTGCAAGATTTTCCTCTGACCTCCACATGCACACTGTGACACACACACACACACACACACACACACACACACACACATGCCCACTGTGACATACATATATACATACACACACTCACACACACACACACACACGCACACACACTAATGAAATCTTAAACTCTCTAGACTGTAGGGCTCAGGAGATAGCTTGTCAAACAGTGTTGGGATCTGAATTTGATCCCTGGCTCTGACATAAAGGATCTGGGTGTGGTGACCCATGCTTGTGGTTCCAACTCGGGGGCAGCAGGAGCCAGTCTGGCCTCAGTGGTGACCTGGTCCAGGTCCTAGCGAGATGTGCTGTCTCAGAAAGCAAGGTAAGCAGCTGCTGAGGAATAATGCCCTAGGTTAACCTCTGGCATACACACCTGCATAGATAGGAATAATTCCAGAGGCTAACCTCTGGCATCTGTTACCTGCACACACAGGAGAGATGCTCGAGACTAACCTGTGACGCACACTCCTGCATAGATAGGAACGATGCCCGAGGCTAACCTCTGGCATGTTTTACCTGAACAGACAGGAGAGATGCTCGAGGCTAACCTCTGATGCACACTCCTGCATAGATAGGAACGATGCCCGAGGCTAACATCTGGCATATGCATCTATGCTGACGTGAACATGGACACAAAGGAATTCAGAGCAGAGTTAAGACTGGGTCTCCATGGTGTTGGATTGGAATTGGAGATCAGTTTTAAGTCATTTAAAAAGTGTTCACAGAGGTGCCAAACAGTGGTGGCATATGCCTTTAATCCCAGCACTTGGGAGGCAGGCCAGCTTGGTCTAGAGAGTGAGTTCCAGGACTGCCAAGGCTACACAGAAAAACCATGTCTCAAAAAAACCAATAAATTAAAATAAACAAACAAATCACAGAGGCTTGTGTACATATTGATGCTTGCCTGTGTTTGCACACACATATAACTTAACTCAGTGCACTGATGTATATAACATGCTTGTACAGGTCCTGGGTACTGAGTTCTAGAGAGTCTCCACTAAATCGAATTCAGGCCCCTGGGAAAAGGAAGTGAGTTACTACAAGGTTAGAGCAGGAAAGGGTAAGATGAGCTGAGGCTATCTTCCTGGCCAGAAAGAAAGAAGCAAGGATGGAAATGAAGTATAGGACCCACATAGGGCAGCTCCCATTACTACCACCAGGGAGTCGAAATGTATATTCATTTCAGATAGCTCCTCATGCAATGCAGTGAGACTGAGATGTGCCGGTACAAACACTTGGGTGGGGAAGAAGGGCAAGGCTTTCCCTGTGGCCTGTTGCCAAGAGGTCGATGACGATGGATGGCCATTATCATGGCAGGAACTGGTCCATCAAGAACTGTCTACGCACCATAGGTCTTTATGGGTCTCTCCTTACAGATCTCAAGTGTATTCTTTTAAAGTTTTTATTTATGTGTATATATGTCTCAGTGTGTGTGCCACATGTATGTGAGTTCACAGAGGCCAGAAGAGGGTGCTGACCCTGGAACTGGAGTTACACATGGTTGTGGACCACCTGACATGGTTGTTGGAAACTGACTTCAGGTCCCTTGGAGGAGCAGCAAGCATTTTTAACCACTGAGCCATTTCCCCATGCCCATCATAGCATATTTCCCCCCTTTCTTTCATTTTTCCTTTGGTAGGATGGGGTTGGTTTCTTGCTGTGTAGCCCTGACTGTCCCAGAGCTTACTCTGTAGACCAGGCTGGCCTCAAACTCAGAGATCTGCCTGCCTCTGCCTCCCAAGTGCTGGGATTAAAGGTGTGTGCCACCGTGCCTGGCTATAGCATACTTTTAAAAGTTCTTCGTTCAGGGTTGAGGAGGTGGCTTAGCTCTTACGGTGAAAGGATGAGGACAGGAGTCTGAATGCCAGACCCCACGTGAAAAGTCAGGCAGATTTGGCAGTTGCTTGTGGGGGCAGCACTCCAGAGGTAGAGAGGTCGGGACTAGAAAAGTCGAGACTAGCAAAATCAGTATGTTCTGGACCTCCACACAGACACACACTCGTTGTACATACATGCACCCACACACATGTGAACATACATACACATGCTATAAATGTTGCTAAGTACAAAGGGCAAAGTAGCGTTCTTAAGGCGGGAAGGTCTGGAAATATCACATCCGTCAAACAGCTTCATCAGCACTGGATGAATTGTGTCTTGTCCCTCGGAACGATACTCTGAGGAGGACCAGTGCATTTTTGCGGTGATTCCATTTTGTTCTTGTCATCCCTGATGTGGGTGGCGTTTTGATCAACTTCCGGGCTTTGGTGTCATAGAGAAATGAATGTCACTCCCTGCCATATCACCAAATTTGTAGGTGGAATATAGATTGAGGAAATATTTTTGAAGTGTTCATGGTGTGGCTGTGATGGTTGCTTTCCCGGCCATCTTGACCTAGCCTGGAATCACCTGGGAAGACAACCTCAAGTGACGGATTCCCTCCATTGCTTTGGCGCGTCTGTGGCAGGTTGTTAGTAGAAGACCCAGCCCACTGCTGGCAGCACCATTCCTTAGGCAGCAGGTTCTGCCCAGCCCACGTGAGGTAAGGGCTAGCTGAGAGCAAGCACACACGATGCTTTTATTGTCTTTGCTCTCAATTGTGGTAGCGACGTGGCTGGCTGCTCGAGTTCCTACCTTGACTTGGAATTCTGATCCAAATAAACCTTCTCCTGTCCTAAGTTGCTTTTGGTTAGGGTATTTTTTTTTTTTTTAAATCACAGCAACAGAAATGAAACAAGGACAGTGACACACTGTGGGCACACGCCTCTCACCGACCAACCCCCGCCCCACTCCCAACCTCAGTATCCCCACCAGCACCAAATCTCTGTCCATGGTGCCACCTATTGTCCCAGAGCAGCCGCCAGACTTCACCTCACACGGAGTGGCTAGAACTAGATAGAACATGAAATGTGTCGTGTCCAGGAGATAGAAATTCCTGAGCCTATTGCAGAAATAATTTCTCCCTACGGCACAATTGTCTTCGCGCTTATTGCTTTTGCTCTTAACGACAAAAATGAGAATAAATACCACGTGAGCAGCAGTGTCGAGTTCGTCTGGTAGGAGTTAGTGCATCGTGGGTGAACTTTCACAGTTCAACCCTTTCGAACTTGTAGCCTGGCACATGCAGTCTGGAAACCAATGTGCGCATCACCTGTTTCCTTCCCTCAGCCGCTCTGGAATGCTCTGCCCCTGCCTCTGTGGGTTGAATCTTGTGAAGTTTCCCCACAGAGGTTTTAAGGCCAAAGAGGAGAAAACTCTGAAGAGAGATGAAAGCGCAGCGTGTGGGGACCCACCTCAGCAGAGAGGAATGGCTGTGTTTGAAAAGCAACCTTCCCCGGGCCAGACCCTGCTTGGGAATGTGCGGCTCCTGCAGGGGGAGGCAAGCAGTCTCAGTTTGTCCCTTCTAGTAACCGCCTCAGTCCCTCACAGTTAACAACAGGCAACGTAGTCTCTTTATATTGGAGATGGTTTTACTCTGTAGTTTTGGCAGATTTGGAACTCACTTTGTAGCCTTGGCTGTTTTTGAGCTCACGGCCTACCTCCTGCCTCAACCTCCTAAATGCTGGAATCTGTGTAGCTCAGCGCTTTGAATGGACACTGTTCACTGCTTGCTGCCTGTCTTCTACAATACCTTCATTATGGGGGATGTTGTGTGTTGCAAGGAACTGCTTGTTCATCCTGATTGCCCAGAACTGAAATAATCACACAGAAATTGTGTTATTTAAATCACTGCTTGGCCCATTAGCTCTATCTTCTTATTGGATAACTCTTAATTTATTAATTTAGCCCATCTCCATTAATCTGTGTACTACCACGAGGTCGTGGCCTACCAGCAACGTTTCAACACGTCTATCTCCAGAGGTAGTGGCTCCATGACGTTCCCTGACTCCGCCTTCTTCCTCCCAGCGTTCAGTCCAGTTTTCTCCACTTACCTAAGTTCTGCCCTATCAACAGGCCAAGGCAGTTTCTTTATTTATTAATAGCAATGACAGCACAAAGAGGGGATTTCCACATCAGTTGTGTTCCAGCCAGAAATCAACAGTTCAGGGGCTGGGCTTGCAAAGAGTTGGCACTGATCAAATGCAAAGCATTAGTTATGAAAACTCGGGTAGAAAGAGAATGGGAATGGAGCTGAGGATGCCACTCGGTTGGCAGAGTGCTATGCACAAAGACGTGACCTCGATCCTCAGTGCTTCACTGGCTAGGTGTGGCGGAGCACACCTGTAATCCTAGGAGTCGGGAGACGAAAGCAAGAGCGTCAGGATTTCAAAGTCATCCTTGTCTACATAAGTGGGATTGAGGTCAGCTGAGTAACACGAGATGCCATTCAAAAAGAAAGGAATGAGGATGGAGCTGCCTCTCTTTCTTGGGGGCTTTGTGAAAGCCAAGGCTCTTCATCACAGGACAGTTCAGCTGAGGCGGGTGAAGCCTCCTCTGGCGCTGGATGATGTGTGTTTTTCTGCACAAAGTCTGGCCTTGCTCCATTCCTCAGAGACACTCTCTGGGAAGCCCTGCCCTCTCCTATGGTCCTCTTGACTAGTAAACAAGTAGCTTCCCATGCGTCATCTCTGACCCTCAGTCTCCAGTGGTCTCTGGGAGACGCTCACGCAGCCTCCCTCTGTCGTACCCTGTGCCCGCTCACTCATGCTTCTGTCTTGTTCCCACAGTCGGCTCGATTGTCCCGAGACATGGGTAGAGGACATGTGTTCGGTGGCTTATAGGTTATCTCTTCCATCTAAGTGATCCATTAGAAGTCCCCTGCCGTCCATTGTAGCTCCAGGGCTTGAGACAGAAGAAGTAGTGACAAGGTTGTACATAAATACCCCCACAAACTTTGCATTTCTCACCCAGGTCTTTTCCCACATGCTGTATTGACTGTGGCTAAGAGTCAGGCATTGTGGTAAACACGTGCCGCGGATTCTCTCTTTTGACCCCCTTGGTTTCTCCCCGAGGTATGTGCTGTATTTAGCAGTGGAGAAACTGAACCACGGAAGTGGTGAAATGGGGACAGCTGGGGTTCCAACCCAGACAGGGTCAGCTCCCAGGGTTTGCAAAGAACTGCAGCGATGAAGGTTTCCTCAGCAAGGGGGCAGACGTGTGGATGGATCCAGGCCACCGAGATTCAAGTCGTGACACTTCACAGACTAGACAAGGTGGAGTTTAGCGTCGGCCCGGAGAACTGCTCCACTCTGGAGAGTTTCTGCGCTCTGCCTTGCTCACCCTCGACCATAATCAATGACAGTAACTGCACTAATGTCCAGACCCTATCACAATAAAGTGGTCAGTACAGGGAGAACAGTTGGAGAAGCAGGGCGCACAGGGCAGGTGCTGTCCTTCTCAGCGTTCCTGCTATTTTAGCACAAGAGAGCAGCAAGTCTTCCCTTTAGTGGGAGCAGCTCCTAGACCACCAGTAAGCAGCAGGGTGCAGATTCAGCCTGCTAGGCTCCCGCTTTCCTTCTGTGTCCTAGCGACTGACACCTTCTGCAAGGAAATTAGGGGACTTCTGGTCAAGCGGGCGATGCTTACCAGCTTCCTTTTGTGTTTGCTTCTTTAAAATCGCCTATCTTGTCACCTGAATTTGTTTTTAAGCAATTTTGTAGGAAGCTAAAGCTTCACCGTGGTGAACTGGACATAATTTTCTGCCCGAAGGACCTTCCTCACAGTGGGAAAGAGTGAACCAGGACAGCTGGCTGTCTTACCTGATCCAAAGCTTGGCCGAGAAAAGGATGATGCTTATGTCCACATGTCATCTTGCTGTTCTACCAGGAACACGTCTGTTCCTATCTGGATCATGCCTGTTCTTTGACATGTAAGGACTCATTGGTTTAGAAATAGATTGTCGAGGGCCAGAAGGATGACTTGGAGGGTCAGGGAAATTGCCATGTAAGCCAAGTAATCTGACAATTCCCAGAACCTGTATAAAAGCAGAAAGAGAGAATCAGCTCCATAAGCTTGTCCTCTGACCTACACACACACACACACACACACACGTGCGCGCACGCACACACACACACACACACACACACATGCACACACACACACACACACACACACGATGGCATGTGCTGTACCCCCCACACCATCTATATCCACACAATAAGTAAAAGAAGTCGGTGAGGGAGTGCTCTTAACATTTTCACCCCATTGCAGACCCTGTGAAGGACAGCCCCAAAGGAAGCAGGTGGCATTGCTTACCTTCAGGGAGCCAGCTTCAAAGATGTCAGACGACAAACCAGCCAAGCACAGGAGAGGTCAGAGGAAATGTGGGAATGGGAGAAAATAAAGAGAGAAAGAGTTGGTGTGGCGGTGTCCACCTGGATGTTGGTTCCTTCAGAGGCTGAGGTGGGAGTTTAGAACAGCCTGGACCACACAGCAGGACATGGGTGTCAGTCAGTCAGTTAAACAATCAGCCAAATGGGAGAAAGACTGTTTGTTTGTGTGTGTCTTCTAATTTTGAAGAAATTGAGTGTACTGATAGAAACATGGTGATTTTGTTTTTCTTTGGGGGAAGACTTTGCCACTTAGAGGGATTTACAAGTGTGCTACAGAGAATTTTCCCGAGGTGGTATTGTGACAAGAGACGGAATTTGCTTTACAAGGAACCAGAATTGGGGAGGAGCATGAGAACCTGGGTTGTGGCTGAGAGAGTGGTGTTGTGTTGGGGACTGTACCAGGTATATACAGGAGTCCTTAATCTGTCTGCTCCCTTTTCCCCCCATAGGTTGGGAAGCTTCTATAATAAAAAAGTTAAAAATTTAGTCACTTTCATAAGCATAAACAGTATGAGTTTCATTGCAATATAGATGGATGACAAAAATAAATCCGCCACTTCTAAGTGAATCAATCTGATAAGCATTTCCCCTCCATATTCTGTGAATATGTTTTATTGTCATTGGTTAATAAAGAAGTTGCCTTGACCTATGGCAGGGCAGAATATAGCAAGGTGGGAAATCCAAGCAGAAATAGAGGAGGAAAGAGGGCCGACTCAGGGAGATGTCATGTAACCACCCAAGAAGCAAGAGGTAACAAATCACAAGCCTTGTGGTAAAATATAAAATAGTAGAGAAATGGGTTCATATAAGATGTAAGAGCTAGCTAGGAATTTGCCTAAGTCATTGGCCAAACAGTACTGTAATTAATATAGTTTCTGTGTGATTATTTGGGTCTGTGAAGCCAGGAAAGCGCAGTCTCGGTTTACATCAGTCCACTGAGGCTCAGGAAGCCTTCCCCAGGAAGGGACTGTCTCAGCAGAGAACTGGCCCGTGAGGGTGGAACATGGCAGACACTGCAGATCAAATCCAGGTGGCTGGGGCTGGAGAGTTGGCTGGGTGGCTAAGAGTACATACTGCTCTTGCAGAGGCCCCAAGTTTGGTTCCTAGCACCCAAGTCAGATGACTCACAATTGATTATAACTCCAGCTCGTGGGGATCCAGAAACTCCTCTGGCCTCCGGGAACAGTACCCACATGCACACACCCACACACAGACGTATGCACAACACATAAATAAAAGGTAAGATTGTAAGTTGATATGGCTACACAGGGGTGAAGGGTGGATTATGACCCCACTCATTTCTCTGTCATTACGCATCTCTGTCGGATGCTGAGAGTGTGGCAGTGAATGACAGGGATTGGTGAACGCTGAGTATTCTTTTTTCTCATTTCTTCTCCTGGGGGAGACGGAAAAGAAAACTTTATTCCCATAGCATGGTTGGGCTTCAAGTCTACACCCGTACGCTACAGCAGAGTCACAGAACACCTTGTGTGGTGTAGCTCTGTGTCACATCCCATAGGCTTTTCCTCTGCGTCCACATCATGTCCCAAGGGGCCCAATGCCTTCTTGTAGAACCATCAGCACACAATCATATTTTTTTGGAGTTGCAGTTTACCCAAGAGGTGAATAAAGTCACCAGCACCTCATGCCCTTTTGGGGGTAAATTAAATCTTTTCCTCCTGTGTGTGGCCAGGGCAAAGAAGTTCTATTAAAGCACAAACCTAGGCAGGAGAACGCTGTGTAACTCAGTATCACTTAACACTGAAAAAAGGAAAATGGAACAAGACCCGTGAGGAGTTTTACATGACACATAATTATGTGTGCAAGTTTGTGTGCGTGTGTATCAGATTTCACGTATGGTGGCTTTAAACATTCTTTCTATATGTAGCATTTTTTTAATAACCAGCAAGTAGATGGGACCTCGAGCTTAATGAAAGGACTTGTATGGATAGCATGTGTTTCTCTTCGAAGAAAATCGATTTCTCAGCCTGGTAAAAAATGCACGGATTTTAAAGTGACCGTGGACTAATTTTATTTGACCCTTAAATCATATAGTTTTCTTCTCTTCTTTTATGATGTGTCACGGTTATGTGAGGGGCTCACTTTTTGATTCCAGAGGTCTGTTCAGAATGAGTAAGAGGGAAACCTCTGCCTTTTTAGTTGGCTTTCTGAAGGACATCTTTTACCAATCCTGAAAAATTCCAAGGTGTTGTTAGGTACGTGGGAGGTATATTTAGAAGGATAACTTCATGTCCCTAGCTTCATCTTTGTATGGGGCCCATTTAATTAACAGCTTAAATGAGATTCTTTGCACTTTCAAACGTGTGGTTCAGGGAAATTATCTTAGAATAAGTTATTGGCAAATCTGTAATGTATTTCAGATGCCATTTGGGAAACATAGTATAAAGTCACTTGATTTGGGGACTCACTGTCTTTTAAGTACACATTTTATTTTTTGAAATTTATTTATTTTTATTTAATGAGTATGGATGTTTCGTCTGCATGTATGTCTGTACCATGTGCATGCAGTGCCCATGGAGGCCGGAAGAGGGCATTAGACCCCCCACAGAACTGGCATTGCAGAGAGTTAGTAGCTGCCACTGGGTACTGGGAACTGAACCCAGGTCCTCTGCAAGAGTAACTTGTGTTCTTTAACTGCTAAACCATCTCTCCAGTCCACAAGCATACATTTTAAATATACACTTTGGGCTCTGGTTCTTCTAGAGGACCTAGATTTAATTCCCAGCACCCACATAGTGGTCACAACCATCTGTAACTCCAGTTCTAGGGGAACCCAGTGCCCTCATCTGGCATGTACTGTGTGAATGTGGTGTGTAGATATACAAGCAGGCAAAATACTCAGTCAGACACATGAAATAAATACAAATAAACAAAACCCCCATACACTTAACATATATTTGTAATATGATATATTATAGGTTCTGGTTTTATATTTTTATCTCAAATATGGACTAACTTCTGCTGTCTTTCCTGCTGGCTCTTCACAGGTCAGTTGCTTGAGATTTTTCATAGAAATCAAACTAATCTTAGCAGAAAGAACTGTTATGCCCTGTCCGTGGGGACCCCACAAGACCACCAGGGAGACTGACTCACTGAAATACAAAATCAAGATTTATTGTATGCATAATACAAGCTGGCAGGGACCTCATCAGCACAGCAGCAAGAGGAGGAGGTGCCCCACCCTTCTAGAGGGCATTGTTTAAAGGCAAAACCCAGAAAAGTTACATTAGCAGGGTGTGGGGTGACGGGTTCAGTCCTGATTGGCTCGTGTCTAGGGACTTTTCAGAAATTTTATTTCGAACCTCGCCTGTCGCTTGTCAAGTTTTCTTATCGGCTGACCTTCGGGTGGGGACATTCTGCAGTTATCTGTACTTTCCGGGTGGCTCCCCTGTTACTTTGCCCCTAGCCATTTCTGAGGACTGGAGTGTTTTACAGGAAATAGCTTACACAAGACACAAGATGGGGGCGGAGGACAAAATGGAGGAACTTTGGTTCTTCACAACCCATCCATAGTGAGGTTGGTGGCCCAGTGAGGTGATGGTGGGGATCAGGTGACCTGTTGTGGATACTTTTCTTGTTGCTGGGATAAAAATCCCCATCAAAGCAGCTTAGGGAAAGAAGGGTCCATTGTGGTTCTCAGCAGGGATGATGTCTGTCTCTTAAGGTGGGGTGGGGCTCTAGCTGTGGCAGCAGGAGCCAGGCAGTCTGGTCACAATGCATCCTGCAGGCAGCCAGGGGCAGAGAGATAGATGCATTCTGGAGCCCAGCTCTCTTTCCTTTTTTCCTTCAGTGTGGGACCCTCTTCACGGCAGTGGCTTGTCTCCGAGGTGACCCCAGAGTGTGTGGAATTGACGAGACTCGTCACCCCAGTATCTTATGCTGAAATAAGTCACCATGACATAGCAAATATTTTGAGCTAAAAGAATTGGTGAACATGCAAAGCTAGGAAGGGCACCCCTTTTCCATGAGCAAGTCGTGAAACCTAGGAAGTAATCTGTCTTCTGTCTTGGTTTGCTTCACCTCTTACCTCCAACCCCCAACCCCTCTGCTCTGTTATGTGCAACCAGGCACGGATTTGCGCACGTAGAGTCAGCGTCAACTTTAGCTGTTGTTCTTTGGTTGATATTTATCTTGTGAGTCATTGGCCTGGAGCTCACTAAGTAGGCCAGTCTGCCTGGCCACTGAGCCCCAGGCATGACCCTACCTCTACCTTCCCCCAGAGCCTGACATTTTTTAAATGTGGATTCTGACGACCAAACTCAGGATATCATGTTTGTGTGGCGAGCATTTCCTGACTGAGTTATCTCTCAGGAAGGGATTTCTGCCCTGCTCCGGAAGCAGGTGGTAAGACCTCCACGTGGGAGGTCTTCTTGTAGCTGAGGGGGACACTGAGCCCTGTCTGTGCTGCCTGACCTCGAGAAGTTCCCGTTCCCTTTCCCCTTTCCTTTCCCACAGGTCTCTGTTCTTCTCCATCTCACCAACTTTTTGGGCCTTCAGTTTTTTTAAGACTCGCCAAAGTTTTACCAAGTCTACCTGTATGCAGTGTTCTTTATTTTTGTTTTTTGACATAAACTTCCCTGCCTGTCCTGGAATTAGCTCTGTAGATCAGGCTGACCTCGAACTCAGAAATCCGCCTGTCTCGGGCCTCTTCCAAGTGCTAGGAATACATGCCGTATTCTCCTTCCTCTGCAGTTCGGTGCAGGACTGCAGCTGAGACTTGGGAGGTTTGCAGACACAGGCAGGCAACGTCTTCCTCACCCTATGAAGGGTTTGCTGCAGGCGTTCGTTGCTGCCCGCTGCTGGGATAAAACTTCAGACAAAGCGTTTAAGGAGGGCTGAGAGTTCTGTGGATCCTGGGGGTGGGGGTGGGGGTAGGGACAGGAGGCAGGGCAGCAGGAGGGTGAGATACCAGCAGTAAGAAAACAGAGATGGGTGCTGGCCTCCATTCCGTTTAACTTTTCGTTTACCCAGGACACAAGTCTATGGAGGGTGGGTGTTTGCTTTAAATCTCCCTGGAGACCCTCCAGAGGTGTGTGTCCTAGGAGTTTTCAAATCCTGTCAAGAAAAACATTCCACCCGCTACAAGAAAAGAGACGTTGGCAAGATAAAAGACTAAGGAATGTATCTGCTGATCGTTTTTGTGATGTAAGAGACTGCAGACCCGCAGACCCAGGGAAAAGTGCATGTTTTTGTGCTGAGATTTGATGAAGTATGGACAATTGTGTGGAAATATCCCTGAATCAGGGTAACTGGTTGGCAAGCCTGCTGTTTGAGATTCTCCTTGATTTCAGTTCAAAAAGCCTTTCCCCTGGGAGGGGGAGATGCGGGGGAGAGGGAGAGATGGGAGAGGGGGAGGGATGGGGGAGGAGGAAGAATGGCCTCAAAATGAGGATGGTGGGAGAAGAGACGTCTGTTTTGCTCAAGTGTGCCAAGGTGTCACCCTTGGTGGCTGGTGTTTATGTCCCACATCGGGTAGAAAGAAAAGGATTTTTTTTCTTCCTACGGTAGCATTTCTTTGTAAATGCACGTGATTTTGGTGTTGAAAAGTGCATGTCACAAACATAGACCTTAACCTCAAAAATTGGCACAGGAAACTTCTCTGAAGTTGAAACTTGAAACATAATTATCCCATAAATGCCGTTTGGGGTGACTGCTTTTAACTTGCCGGCGTTCTTTGTAACATAATGATTAATTTCTTTTGCTACCTTATTACGATCAACAGCTCTGACCTAGATTGTTTTGAATTTTGTGGTTAAGAAGAAGTTTTTTTTTTTCCACTTTGTATATAGTTGAATTATATGCAGTGACTTGAGAAATAACCTATATTATTCAGTTTTAATAAGTATATTTCTGGGGATAGCTATATCTGCATTTGCATTCCACTTGGATTTCTAGGACCCACGCTATTGCCTTGCAAGTTAGTCTAGTTTAAATTGTCACCTCCTCTATCTCTTCTTCCTCCCTCTCTCCTGTTCCTCTTCCTTTTCCCTTTCCTTCCTCGCCCTCCCTCCTCCCCTTTCTCCTCCTCTTTCCTCCTCTTTCTCTTTTCTTCTTTTTGACAGAGGTCATGCTTTTTTACCTAGGCGGTCTCAAATTTTTGAGCTCAAGCAATCCTCCTGCTGTAGGCTCTGGAGCAGCAGTGACTACAGGTACCTGTACTAGAGAAGCCACTGACTTGGCTTAAATCATATCTTTGATCAACAAAAAGGACAACATAAAGCTTCTTAAAAATAGCAACCCAAGCTAGGTATGGAGACACCTGGCTGTAGTCCTGATGTTGGGGAGGTGGAGGCTAGAAGATCATGCGAGTTTGAGGCCAGCCTGGACTACATAAGTTATGGGACAGCCTGAGCTACAGAGTGAGAAAAGGAGCAAACACAAAAGCAAACCCCAAGAAATTTAACACTCCAAGTGCATGATGGTAGCATCACCTGTGATGTCAGCGTATTTTCCTCCCCGCAGGGATGTGCGGCACAGATACCCCGCTCGGATTCCTTGGTCAGTAGAAAAGTACACTTCCTGAGGAAGGGGATTAAGCCATCTCCACGAGAGGCAGGAAGGCTCCCTGTGATCTGTGGTGATCGCTCCAACCACTCCTGAGTACTTGAAGGGCCTGCTGTGACCATAGATGGAGGGAATCTTTCTAGGGAAAAAACGTGGGTGTTTCTGTTGATCAAGGGCAGCTGGTACCTGGACATGACTGAGTGGTCTCAAGGACTAAGGCTTGCTTGCTTTTTCTGTTAGGAGCTCAACTGTCAGGAGCTATATGGAGAAACGAGGGGAGTTCCCTGACGCCTCCTGCCCTGGTCAATCACCTCTGCCACAGAATGGGTTCTTGAAAGAACTCCGAGGATGGGGCTCTGTGTGTGAGACTGAGGTGGGGGCAGTTTTTCTCTCTGCTGTGAAGGACTCCTTTGAACTCTTATCATCGCATGGGGATTGGGATACCGACTGTGCTGACATTGAGAAGGTGTATGGGTTAGAGGCTGGAGAGATGGCTCAGTAGTTAGGGACACCTATTGCTCTTGCTGAGGAACCAAGTTTATCTCCCAGAACCCAAGTTGTCCAGCTCACAACCGCCTGTAATTTCAACTCTAGGGGGTCCACTGCCCTTTTCTGGACCCTGCTAGCACTTACCCTGTCCCCCAACATACATAACTGAGAAGAAGACAGTGTGTCAGTTTGGGTACCTTTCGGCCTACTATCAATAGTTGTGGTTTTTCTCTTTTAATGAACCGCTTTTTTGACATATTATGGTGACTGTGATATGAATAGAGGGAAAGGCTGCCTTACTGTTACGGCTGTCCAATGGTAAGCTTGACACATGACTTCTAGGAGTTCCCTTAAAGCAAGTGAAATACCAAAAAATCACCTTTCATTCCTGAGAGCCTCCTTCAAGGAGGGATCACAGAGATCACACATAGCATCCTGGTAACACCGACGTTTTCCTGCTCTGTAAAGCTCAGTTTTCTCCAGACTTTAGAGTGTGAATGAGGCGCCTGCACCTCCAGGACCTAACTTGTGGGCGTGCTCTGCATTCAGAGCTCAAGGCTCCCAAACAAGCCCGGTTTTACTTAAGTCTAAACAAATAGGTATTGAAAATCGTAATGAAAAGAACCCTGATGTTATCGGCCGATTTCCCACTTTATCGAGTTTCTGTCATAGTCTCCTGAAGAATGCTCAATGACTTAATTTAATTTATTTGCTTTCTGGGAGAAAAACAGCAAAGAAATTTCCCACCAAAATAAGAAAAACTTAAAGCTAAACAGATGCAGGAGATTCGGAAGCAGAGTAAGACATCTGAAAGAATTGTATTAAGATATTGACTGGATGTTACGGAAGGGATTGACTGCACTGATAAACTCACTTGTAATTATACATAATTAAAAAAATAGGTTTAAGAAAAAGGGATTGACAAGCATCCTGACAGTAATTGGGAGACCTGATCTGTGCCTTTAAAAAGTCACAGGACCTGGGGCAGGGAGTGGCTGAACAAGTAAAGTGCTCGGTGTGCAGTGCACACGTGAGGATTTGAGTTTGTAGCTGCCGAAGGCGCAGAAAGTAAGACATGCTGGTGTGTGCTTCAACCCGGGCACACACCTGCAGTGGGAGGAAGGCAGAGACTGGAGAATCCTGGAGGGACTTTGGACCAGTTAGCTTGGAGTACACAGTAGGAGACCCTGTCTTAAACAAGGTGGAGGGTTAGGGACTGACATTTGAGGCTGTCCTCTGACCTCTGTGTACTTACAGAGACACAGGAACATCCATGTTCACACACATGAACACCCACCCACCCACAGACACACACACACACAATAAATATCACATAACTCATTTTACCTGCAATCCGTCAGTTCTGAAGCAGCCCGTGGAGGTTTCCACTCTGAAGAGACTCCTGTTTCTGCGATGTTGGGCGTCGCTGTCATTTGGGTTTTCAGTGTCCCTTAGAGATCCACGTGGTGGAGTTTGGGGCACAGTGTGACCCACCTTCAGGAGCCAAGACCTGATAGAGGACGCTAGGCCTTTGGAAATGTGGTTTTGAAGGAGATAATGGGACTTTAGTCTCTTTTCTCTGCCTTCCTTTCCCCCTGCCGTCTGGTGGGTGGTTTTGCTTTGGCGTACAATCCTGCCTTTGCCGAAGGAGTGGGGTTAATCAGCCAGGGACCATACCCTCTGAAAGTACGGACCACAGCGATGCTTTCCTCTGTATAAGCTATTGTCCCAGTGTTTGTCGCAGTGACAGATGCTGACTAACACAGGCAGGTCTCATGGTTGTCCTGACAAGATATGGGACTCTGGCTCCCTGTCAAGGTTGTGGTTGGAAGGGAAAGAGGGAACAGACATGAAATGCACAGAGCATGTCTGTGATCTGTTACCGTAGGGGAGACGAAGGGACGTTAGAAGTTCAAGGCCATTCTCCGCTGTCTAACAAGTTTGAGGTCAGCCTGGGCCACACAAGACTTTGTCTAAAAACAGAAAAAGAAAAAGAAAGAAAAAGAAAGGCCACATAAAGGCTCTGTGGGTAAAAGCGCTTGCTACCTGACGTGCGTTCGATGCCCAGAACACATACAATGGTGGAAAGAGAGAACCATCTTCACAAAGTTGTCCTCTACCCCTCCCGATCACTCACATATAGACGCAGTTATAATGTATTAAAACTTAAATGATAAGAAGAGAAAACAAATAGTTCTCAGTTTACAAGCCTGTCACTCCCATCGGCGCCTAGGTTTACATTAGCCACTGATCTCCTTTTTAACCACGCAGCTCTTGCGGTAGAACACAGATCCGGGAGGGCGGAATGAGTGACGGTGACCCGCGTATTGCTCTGCTGGAGCCGGATGCTGCTGCTTTTAGACACAGCAGGAAGTCTGTCAGCATGCATTAAGTGAATGAATAAACAAGGGTTATTATTCAGAATCGTGCAGTTTAGCAGCGCATCGACAGCGCTAGGTGCTAACAGTCCCTGTGTGCGGAGGCTTTGACATAGACACAGGGAACCTGTAGATCCCACAGGCTCTGGCTTCTCCAAATTTCCACACCTTCGCTCGTCAAGACACTTTCCTCTATTCCGAATCTCTCCAACTCCTTAGCGATGCCTCAAAGAATTCAACTTTAATTTTGTTTATTTTTATGTATTTAAAAAGTGTTTTTTTTTTTTTGAAATGGCTAACTCCCGGAGGAAAACGCAGTCTTAAAGATCGTGCTGCCACCTACAGGTCAGCAGGGGCAGCACACCCACCTCTTCTGCTAGAGGCCAGCAGAGGGGCTGTCAGAGCCTTCAGCAGGCTCATGAAAGCTCCTTTAGGGCCTGAGGAAATGCAGAATGGAGAATGGTTAGCTCAGAGTCTGCAAAAAAGGTGGAGGACGAGACTGCGTCTCATCTGTGTTTCTGTCTCCGTTGTCTTTAGTGATGCAGGTGTGCCTGTGTGTATGTGTGTGAGTACATGTGTAAGTGTATATGTGTGTATACATGTGTATGTTTATGTAAATGTTGTTTGTATGTACGTACATGGGTATGTATAGGTAAGTGTATATTTGTATGTATGCAATTGTGTATGTGTATTTATGTGTATGTGTGTGCATGTATTTGTATGTGTGTGAATATGTGTATATTTTTGTGTGCATGTGGATATGTGTGCAAAAGCAAGAGATTTGACTATTTTTCTTTATTTCTGTTCAGAGAAACTATAAAGATACATTCACAAGGCTTGTCTTTAGGTGATGAAATGCATTTTTCCTCTTTGTTCAATTTCTCTGAAGTATCTTCCAGGTATCTTCTTATTTAAGTGATTTAAGAGAATAGTTTAATTTTTAAGTTAAGTAAGATAAGAGGTGAGGTTCCGCCAGAGGAACCATGCCTGTTGAAGATCAGATTAAAAGAGATTGCTGATCAGATTGTGGTGAAGGGCTAACAGAATATTTTGAGGTTTTTTCTTTCTTTTTCTCTTTAGAGAAAGGACTGTTTCCTGTGTTCAGCTTGATAGATGTTGATTCAAGGTTTAATTTTGGAGAAATGATTCAATATGATTAGGACTGTTTTTTTTTTTTTAGGATGAACAGAAAGAAAATTCCAAAAAATTGTGCAATAATTTAGGAGCTTCTGATTTCCATCCATCAGACTTCCAGAACGACATTTGTTCAGTGTGTGGGAAGGAGCTTCAAAGGGTTTACAGCATTTCCCTTGTACTGACAAAGGGGAGGATGAAGGAGAGTGTGCCCACGCTCCCTCTGTCCCCCAGGCAGGACTGCTCAAGAGGGACAGGAGAGCAGCGGTGTCTGTAGCAGGAGCTGCACCTTTAGGCAAATCCACATGATCTGAGAAACAAGCCAACAATTCTGCTTTTTAAACTTTGAGACAGGATCCTGTGGTGTAGCCCAGGCTGGCCTCAAATCCCACCCTCCTGTTTTAGCCTTTTGAGTGCTGAGAAGGCAGGGGTTCTTACAGGAGTATGACCTTCTAATCTGAGAATGCAGGATTCTTGGGTGGAGTGTGACCCTCTCTTCTGTCAGTGTGTCCATTGTCAGGGCTTCCTTCGTCTGCTTTTCTTATCCCGTCTCCGTTTTTTTCCCAGTTGACCTAGTTAAGAGTTTGTCAATTTTATCTTTTTCAAACAAAAGACTGCTCATTTCACCAATCTGCTGGAATACATTTTAGTTTTTATTTCACTTCATTGTTTCTTTTCTTCTAATCTTGGGTTTGAATTATTTTTCATACATGCCCCCCCTCCCCCATGTGTGTGTGGCATTTGTGTGTGCAGGCAGGTGTGTTTGCCCAGGCAGGTACTTGTGGAGACCAGAGATTGATGTTGAGATGTCTGCCCCAGCTGTTTCTCCGTCTTATTGTTATAATTTTTTAAGTATGTATTTTTTTTAAAGAATATTTAAAATTTTCTTATGTGTATGAGTGTTTTGAATTTCTTATGTGTGTGTCTTTTGAATATCTTGTGCGTGTGAGTACGTGTGCTGTGTGTGTGTGACTGGTGTCTGGAGAACAGAAGAGGATGTTGGTTGTCCTCACAGGGCTGTTGGGAGCTGCCGTGCATGCAGGGTCCTCTGCGAGAGCAGCAAGCTCTCTTACTTAACCTCACCTGTCCCTCTAGCGCCCTCTTGTTTTGATGAGACACAGTCTGAACCTGTTGTGACCAGACTGGCCAGTGAGCCCCCGGATTTGCCTGCCTTGGCCTCTCAGACTGTGTTTGCGGATGGACACCGCAATGCCTGACTTACGCGGATACTTGGGCTCCCAGCTCTGACCCTCAGGCGTGTGAAGCGCGCTCTACCCACCGAACCGCGTCTCTACCCCCATTTCTCTAGTTTCTTGGGACCCAGGGGTAATTTCTTTCCAGGCGTTTCTGCAAGTTTCTCTTTCTTTTCCTCGCTCCCTGTACCCTGTATTTGTTCAAGTTTTTTTGTTGAGCCCATGGAGTCCGTCTGCTTTGCTTTCTTCTGCTACCAAAGCCTTCTGCTGCGTCTGTTATTTTACGCCATGATTTTTCAGCTCAGGAATTTCTTCTTGATTTGAAGAACTTATTTCTAGCTCCCAGTCAAGTTTCTCGGTTAGAAATAAGGTCCTTTCTCCCCTGAAAACTCAAGTAGTACTCCCAGAATAGCTGTTTCACGTTCTTCTCTGTCGTGTCCGCCCACACATGTTGCTCCCCAGGCCAGGTGCTCCGTCTTCAGCTAAGTCGTGTGTTTCCCTGACATTTTTTATGGAAGGATTAGATTTTTTTTTTCAGGATTCATAACTCTGAAAAATTAGATTTTTTTAAAAAAAATTATAACCTGTGTTTTCCCAGAAATGGGTTTCTGGGTAGTCATGTGTATTACATGTTAAGGTTAATTTATTAATTGTATGTTTCCACATGTGCTCGTGTGTGGGTACGCATGTGCCATGGCACACATTTGGAGGTTAGACGACAGCTTACAGGATTTAATTCTCTTCATCCACTATGTGGATCCTGGACCTCGAACTCAGGTCATCAGGCTTAGCGCCAAACCCCTTTATCCTCTAAGCCCACCTGTACCCTTGTTTGTATTTTATGAAGCCCTAAATCCAGGTTTGTTACATGCTAATGGTTTGTTGGCACTGTATGAACACTAGAGGGCGCGCTAAGCACAGATTTGTCCTAAATCTCCAGTTATTCAGCCCGAGTCCGGGAAGCATTAAGTCTGTCCGTTAGGACAAGGTAGGCCCAACTGCTTCGCCCACAGTCCTGTGTGTTGGGTCAGGAACTGTGGGACTCTGCCTGTCTTTATGTAAAATTACCCTGGAAGGACGAGGCTCAGGCTCCTCCCGCACAGGCGTCCCGTAAACTCTGTACTGGGAACTCTGCTTGTCTTACCCTGGTGGAACTTGCAGCTCAATTTCTGCACCCACTGGGAGCCATCTTCAACTAGGGCGCTCAATCTCAGCCAGCCCCACCCCTCCTGTCTCCGTCAGTGCGTTTTTTTTTTTCATCTTCCAGACACCAGGGGCGCTAGTTCCTCAACTGACTTCCTAGCTATTTAGAAGGTAGTCTGGTGCCCCCAAAAACACGTGTTCAAGTTGGTGTGTTCATGGAGAAAACGGCTAGAGGAGCCTATTTGGACATCATTTTTCCCCCTTCCTGTATCTTTGGCTGTCCTGGAACTTGCTCTGTAGACAAGGCTGACCTCAATCTCACCAAGATCCATCTGTCTCGTGTCTCATTCCCCCTCCCCCCGAAATCATATTTTTTACCCCTGAAGTTTTAGGCTAAAATTTTAACACTTTTGCACTTCGGTCGCTCCCTCTGGTTGTGTCTGTGTCAACTAGACTAGACTGACCAACCGAATTGTCGCGGTGGAGGTGCTTCACTTAGCACCCACAGTAAGTTCACTTTAAGTCACAGAGACTATCCTTAATTGTCAGGGGCCTCAGTACCCCTGCTGGGCTCAGAATTGGCTGTCTATGGCAGGCGAGGACCTGCGGGGAAAAAAACCAACTCAAGTACATTAGTTACCTCTGCATCTTCTTTATTTCTTGTGCAAGGGAGAAATCGAAGTTAAGGAGGTGTAGAGGAGAGGAGAGGAAGAATAAGGAGAAGAAAGAAGGAGACTAAGGGGAAGAACCAGGAGAAGAAGGGAGCAGAGTGAGAGGAAGAAGTAGGAGCTGCGAGAAGAAGAGTAAAGAGGAGAGTAAGGGCTGATCTCTGTCAAGTTGGGAGCATAGGCCCCAGCCCCTCGCATCTATCCCAGCCCCCAGGCCTGGTCTGGACTCCAAATCCCACTCCCCAGGG